CGCGAGTCACATGCGGCTCTTTGGATGTGAATCTGCGGCTCTTTAGTTCCATACGCAAATATTAATTATTTTATAAAAAAAAACATTTAAAGATCGTTCTGAATCGATTAACGAGTATTAGGCACCATTTTTATCTCTCAGTCCCTTGTACTCTCTTTTCACTGCACCCACACACACGAAATCCACACTGGGCTATTCGAAGTTGATACTGAATTTCTAGAAATGCAATTGATCGATTTAAAAAATAAAGCTTCGTGGAGTGGAAAATTAACAGAGTTGAAAAGCAAGTTGGAATAGTTGGAGGTCCAGAAATGTATGTACGTAACGCAACAAAAATGGACAGTTTTAAAAGGAATGCCGCGAGTTGAGGCACTTATATTCGACGCATGGAATATTCTTCAAGATTGCTACAGTGAGGGGAAGTAGTTGGCATTTGGGAAGCCGACTATCTTCGGATCGAAATATTTGTTCGAGCAAGCGTTCTCTTGCATGAATATAACTCAAAGTAAGGTAAGAAGCCAACTAACAAATGATAATTTAGAGTCGTGTTTGAAACTTAAAACACGAAGCTATGAGCCAAATTTATCATTTTACGTACAAGTTACATAATTGAATTTGTTTGCTCAATTGTTTGTTATTGAATCAAAGTCAGTGTTGGAAGACTTATAATGTTACCATGTAAATATATGATTATCTAATAATACCATATATAAATTAGAATCTAATTTCTATTATTACTATCTATTTATTAGATTATATATATATATATATATATATATATATATATATATATATATAAATAAAAGTATTTTACATGTTGTATATATATATATATATATATGTAACATGTAACAAAACCCTGTGGTTCCCGTTAAGTGCGTTATCAGAATCAGTATTCAAGCGTATAGAAATTAAAAAATAATTAATTTGCAAATTGTATGTGGTTTTATTATCTCTGCATTGACCGAGGAGTAAGAGTTTTGTCAAAGACAAATCAAGCGCAATGCGCAAGACAATCGATGGGAGAAGAAATGACCATGTTCTTCACATCATTAGGCTACGTTTGCGAAATGTTTGTTAATCGTAAAAAATGGATTTCTCAGGTGATGATTGAATACCCACAGGGTTTTTTTTGTTACACCTTGTATATATATATATATATATATATATATATATATATAGTGTGTGTGTGTGTGTGTTGTCTAGAAAAAAATTGTGGCTCTTTAAAAACTTTGAAGTTTTATTAATTGTAATTTTTGACTCTTCCGACTTAAAAGGTTCCCGAATCCCGACCCCTGGCCTACGCGATTGGTAGCTTTTTGGAGTTTTAAAGTGAGACCATTTTTATTGTAGTCGGATACATAAGTGCCGTATCGTCGGCGAAATGTGCGGCATTCATCACTGGGTCTCTTGGAATGTCACTCGTGATGAGTATGAAGAAGTGTGGAGATAGGACGGAGCCTTGTCCTCCTTAACCCCTGCTTTTAGGGGGCCGTTCATGGAACGAATTCTCTCTACTCGATAGTGGAAAGTGCGGTTTCAGAGGAAGGCTCATCTGATGTGCACGAGCCTATCGGGCACGGGTTGTGTTTTAATTTTTTTTTCCTTTTTCGTAATGCGACTACTTTTTTTAGAGATTTTTCCACCACCTGTGGCGTGTTGCCTTTTCAGTCAGTACACTGATGAGTCGATATCTTCGGATCACTGGATTTCGAAAAATCTGCTGCTGTACCAGGAAGTTTGAAATGTTGACCTTGGACAGAATCATCACCTGAGAAATCCATTTCTCGATTAACAAACATATCGCCAACGTAGCCTAATGATGTGGAAGACATCAGTTCTTCTCCCACCATTGTGCTTTTTTCGAGCGCATTGGACTGGCCGCACAGTGCAGTCGCTTGACACCTTGGACTGGGTTAGAATAGGAAAAAAGGGGGTGGGATAAAATAAAAGAATAAGAGATCGTCTGAGTGTTTCTGTTCTGTATCTTTCCTATTGAATCAGGCCAAATAACAGGCGGCAACCACGTTAAGGAAGTACAGTTACAGTTAATGAAAAAAGACGCCACTTGATCAAGAAGCCAACTGATTGGCCACGAGATTCAAGCCCGACCAAGAGTACTGACTTATGTGCTTTAGTCTGCTGATATATTGATTTAAATTAACAATTTTGGAACAAAGAAAAAAATCAAAGCAATTTATTGACTTATGTACTTTAGTCCGCCGACCCGACTTTAAAAAAAAGTGCTAGCACAATAAAAACGAAGATTCTGAATGAAAATGAAGATACGACTTAAAAGACAAGTATTCAAGCCAAAACTTTATATATAAATAAAAAATAAAAACAACCAAAACGAAACGTTTGTCGAATATTATCTGTGGTTTCAAAACTTCGTTTTGAGCAGGGGGGATACACTTCCATACTTTAGGGTGGGGTCCAATAATTTGCAAAAACACTAGTGCCATCTTGTACATTGTCCGCATAAACTTTCGAACATTAGTCTATAAAAGGTGCGCTAGATGGCGACTACACCGATTCTGGTTATTCTCGAACTGGCAAGTAGCAACTATATAATACGACATAATGGCTACCGGCCCGGCGTCTGAGCAAGTAGTTGTTTTATTATAGTTTATAATAGAGATGGGCCGAATATTCGTTTTATATTCGGTATTCGGCATATTCGACAGGTTTACCGAATATTCGGCTAAATCACCGAACATTCGAACCGAACATTTTTGGGCAGTGCGGTGAATAATTCCTTGCCCTATAACCCTCTCATAAATGAGCGGAGGCCTGTGACCAGGAATGGAACGTATATAGGCTATAACTTTAACTTTAATTAAGAATAAAACAACGAAATACTTTTTTTATCACAAGAATAGTCAAAACATAAGCATGTGCCGGCAACTTGCTCAGTACTAGATAATGCAAAAACATGTCAGGTGTGGCGGGAAGCGAGGGGCAGGGTCCGGCGCTAATCCCGTGTGCTTTACGGTAACAAGTTTCGACATAAATTGGTTAAGTGCCGAGGTTATCCTGCCGAATAATGTTCGGCCGAATATTCGGTTCGGTAAAAACCGAATATTCGGCAGAATATTCGTATTCGGTGAAATCCATATTCGGCCCATCCCTAGTTTATAAGTGATTTTCGGTTGTTGCCACAATAAGTTTGGTTGAGTTGGGATTAGCCCTCTGTTTCTTGTTGTCTGTTTAGATTTTCATGCTGGAACCACATTGTATGTTTGTGTAGTGTTGTGCGAAATAGACGCTTTCATTTATCATTCCGTAACCCGGTGGACATATTTAATTTGGTTTGGTGTTGTATTTTGCGGAATAAACGCTTTTACATCGTGTATGTTAAATATATATATATATATATATATATAACAAAAATAAATGTTAATATTACTGAAATCTATAATACGTCTTTAATTGAACCCTAATCACTTAAAATATAAATATAAGCGCCTATAGTATAGATAGCCGTATACACATAACTACATAATATACTACTATCTATAGTCAACATGATATTGAGATTAGTTGAAGGGATATGATACCAGACGGCGACACTATTCATATTGGGTGACAAAAATTCGTAGGAGGTGGCTCTCTTAGTTTTGCCACTTTAGCGACTTTGTCGCTAGATCTAACGACTTTTTTGTTAGTTTAGGGAATTTAATTCAATGTTTAGCGACAAAAAATATTCTGGCGACTTTTAGCGACATTTGCACAATCTGTACATACTTCAATTTTTGGTACCATCTGACAACTTTAGACGTAAGGAATATACTCTATCCACTAACGAAATTATAAAATGTAAAGGAACCGAAACAAAGGTTCTTTGGATGTCGCTTTTACAAACACATATAAAACATCACAATAATATTCCTAATGGAAAATGTTGTTATTTATTTGTAATAGGTAATCATGTTATAAATAAATCACATAACATGTACTTTATCAAAATCTCTTGCTTTCAAAATTGAAATTAATAACAACGTAACATACGTTAGAAATAATTTTAAAATAAAAATGAAACGCCTTATAAATCCTAAAGCAACTAAAAGTCAAATAATCATTTTACACAGTACTTATTGTAATTGTATTATTTAAAGTATTATTATTAACTTATTTTATGACAATAGAGAATTATTATTAAAAGTTTTATTTAAAATGAGAATAAGCTATTTCCTAATTTGATCGGATTACACCTACCACGTTGTTTTCACTCTTTATTTGTTTACATTTTATCTGTTTTATTTGCTTTGATCGGGACTTCCTCGATAGTTATATTTATAATATTCATTCTTGTCACTTTAGTCTTGTTGCGCGCAATACTTACGTAAGAACGTTCAGTGTTAATTTTTTAAATCTCCCGTGTATCTAATTTTATTTGTTTCCATTTAAAAGTGATTGTTTGTTATTTAATTAAATTTATTATTAATCTAGATTATAAAATGAATGTACCGTTGAAGAAAAAACCTGCAGTCAAAAATTCAGAAAGGAATGGGAAGACTAATTTAAATGGTTAAAACCGGTGATGACCGACGATGCAAAAACATTTTTTCATACCCTACTGAAATGTAGAAATGTATGTGAAAATTTCATATCAAGTTAGAATTTTAGTTCTTTTCATTTATATATATATATATATATATATATATATATATATATATATATATATATATAAATATATATATATATATATATATATATACATGTATAAGATTATATTTAGCGACATTTGGAAACTTTCTGTTACTAAATTCACTTATAACTAGGGACTTTTTGATGGCAGTCTAGAGACCTTCACTAATTCCAAGTGGCAACATTGGGCTCTCTATTTCTGTATATATTTTTCTACTCTCTATGGTTTTGAGTTTTTGAGTTTTCATGTCTTTAGCCGCTGTAATTACTGTTTAATTTTATACAATTTTTCCCATTTTGTAACAATTAATATGTTCCTAATTTATTGCAAGTAATTGCTCGATTTAATTTTGTTTAATCAAAGTGGTAAGTAAGTTTGGCATTTTCTTTGTAACTTGTGTCTTGACAGCACAGGTGCTGATCTTGCTTTTTAATAATTTTAAACAACTAATTTTAATGTTAAGATGACCTATATTTTTGTAATATTTGAACATTCATAATTTCTACCATAATATTTTCTGTGTCAATTTCTATATTCTTTTGATTTCCCCACATTGATTTTTTATTTCAGGTTATCGATATCGACCTGTCAAGGAGACATTTTTCAACAAACTGTCTCTGCAAATTTGCAAAATAGGAGACGACAATCCTTTTAAGTTCTCTAATTTCATATCAAATCTGCCACCAATTGTAAGTACGTTGACTTTATTGATCGAAAACTATGAATAGTAAATGCCAACCTTTTTTATTTGTTGTTTAAACATTTTTTCTAAACTATAGTTTTTCCTGACCACCACATACGTCTTTTCTAGTTCTAGCGTGGGAGTAAATGTTTAGAACTAGAATATGGTGGTAACCTCACCTATATTTATTTGTATTCGCCTTGATGCTTATCCATGATTATTTGAGTCACAAGTTTGTTGTTCCTAGATTCTGTTTAATTATTTAGCCCTTTAAATTATATCCCTTATCATATGTAACTTGATTATATATTTATTTACTTATTTTTACTATGCTAGAATACTTGTACTACTTTTATATTGAGTCTTGATGATTGTATTGTATCTTAAATCCAAATATAATATTTATGGTTTACAGACAAATGTCATAAAGATGCATGACATACCTATTTACCTTTAATAGGAGTCGAAGCCTTGTTAACAATAGTCTGTACATAAAATGCAATATAAGATGTTAGTCCCATACAGTAGTTCAACTGTAGTCTTAAATGTTAGACACATCACACATCTTTTGTAAAAAAAAATCTGTCTTATCTATTAACCTGTTCTCAATCTTTAGAAGAGAAAAATTAAAATTATGGCAATTTAAAATGTACAAAATGATGAAATAAAATGACAGTTAAACATGATATCTGAAATTTCATTGCAAGCACAAAAAGAAACAATAAATCCCATATGTTACCAGGGTGGTAGAGCGATGCCTCGTTGTAGCAAACGCACGCGCAGTAGCGCGCCTACCAGTGATGTATTGCCTGGAGCCACAACCATTGATGACCACCATCACCACAAACGATCGAGAAACAGCAGGTAGCTGGTTTAAATTTTTTGATGCACAGCTCCCATCATCAGACAGTGGCATAGTACCAACAATAATTAAGAGAAATGTTTTCCTTGTAAATTAAATAAGCTGTTTTCAAGTTAGTATCGAATCTGGTGTGTTTCCTGATTTCATGAAGCGTAGTAAAGTAATACCTTTATTTAAATCTGGTAGTACATTGGACCCCGCTAATTTTAGACCTATTTCTATACTGCCAACACTTAGTAAAATTTTTGAAAAAATTATTCTTGATCAAATGTTAAATTTTTTTAATGTAAATAATTTACTTCATAAAAATCAATTTGGTTTCACAAGGGGTCTCTCGACAACTGATGCTGGTGTTGAGCTGATTAAATATATATTTAATGCATGGGAGAATTCAGAGGATGCTTTGGGTGTATTCTGTGACCTATCCAAAGCCTTCGATTGTGTTCACCATGAAACATTAATCAGGAAACTTCAACACTATGGTGTAAGAAGCAATGCTCTTAAATTAATTATTTCATATTTAAGTGACAGAACACAAAAAGTTATCATCAATAGTATGAGATCTTCCGGGTCGATTGTACAAATGGGCGTGCCTCAGGGCTCAATTCTCGGCCCCTTTCTGTTTCTTGTATATATTAATGACTTACCTTACATAGTAGGGGATAACCATGATATAGTATTATTTGCTGATGATACTTCATTAATTTAAATGACAAATTAAAATGACAGTTATTAAATTACGACGAAGTAAATATTGCTATAACTAAGTTAGTCAATTGGTTTAATGTTAATAATTTGCATTTGAATGAAACTAAAACTAAATGTATGAAATTCGTCACTTCTAATGTTAAACATGTCAATACTAATGTAATTTTAAATGGGGAGGAACTAAGTCTTGTTGATACCACCATTTTTCTTGGAATCACACTGGACGCAATGCTTCAATGGCTCCCCCATATATCAAAACTAGTTCTGCAGCATATGCTGTAAAAAAGATTAGAACTCTTACCAGTGTTGAAACAGCTAGAATAGTTTACTTTAGTTATTTCCATAGCATTATGTCGTTTGGTGTTTTGCTATGGGGACACGCGACTGACACTGAAATTATATTTATTTTGCAGAAGAGGTCCATTAGAGCAATATATAATTTAAAACCAAAAGTCACTGAGACAAAAATTTAAGGAAATCAATATATTAACTCTGGCCTCTCAATACATTTATGAAAATGTAATGAACGTATACAAAAATAAAAGTAGTTTTGCGAAAATAACTGATATTCATTCTGTAAATACTAGGAGCAGACACAAGCTAGTAGTATCAGTTACTCGACTCCACCGAGTCAGTAATTCATTCTTGTGGTGATGTACACGCTTTTAATACAAAATCCCAGAAAATATACAAAATTTGTCATACACAAAGTTCAAAAATGTTATTAAACTAAGTTTGTATTTTAATAACATTTTTGTTTGTAAAGGGTTATTATAATATTAAGGAATTTATGGATGATAATAACCCCTGGGAAGGTGATCGCTACCAAGCCATTTATATTTTGTCTTGTGTTGTTAATTGTAAACATGATTGTAAGCTATTATTGGAAAAAAAAATAATCCCGCTGGGTTTCTTGCCGGTTCTTCCCAGGACAGAGGTTTTTTTGCGAACCAGTGGTAAATTAAAAAAGTGACTTTCATTAAGTATTGTTATAATTTACATTGAATAAAAAAGTTTCTGTTTCAATACTATATGATTACTATTACATTATCAGCCTATGTTTAGCAGTGACCTTGTACTATTTGCGTTAGTTGGAACTTTTGGGAAAGGGGTTGGTACCCACAGTTTTTTATCTGTTAATTGTTATTTGGAAGATGCTGCATTTTTACCATATTTGTACCCATCTCCTGGTTTGTTTCCCTCTCTCGCCTCTTACAATGACTGGGACAGGACAATATGGAGTAGTGGACATTCTTATACCGCCACTACATTGTCTATGTCAATTTTTATCCTACTAAGTAGTATATAATATATCTGAAAAATTTGAAATGAAATTAACACAATGTATTGTTTATATAAAATTAATATACTTTAAATTAATATAGGTATAGCGAACAGCTCTTGACTTCTGACTTACCGATATCAATCAAATAACTTTATATTTTTATATTGAGTAAGACACGACAGAGGGACAATAAAACAGGAAATCAACAGCAGCATATTTTCCTGATAACATTTCAATAGTTTACTGTAGTTGTAACTTATGTGTGTAACTTATCTACCAAACATGACAAATAAGGTAAATATAGGAGAAAGGCTTAAGTTCAGCAGTGGACTTTGATAGGCTGTTATGATGATGATAATAATCATGATTGAATTTAAACTCATCTGTGTTTAAAAGTAAAGTTACAGCCTATATACGTCCCACTTCTGGGCACAGGCCTCCCCTCATTTCTGAGCAGGTTTTAGGAAGTGTCCGCCGCGCTGCCCCAATGCGTGTTGGCAAACTTCACATGCCTTCAAAGTATTTTTTTTTCTTATTCTTCAGATATGCAAGTTTCCTCACGATGTTTTACTTCGCCGCCGAGCATGTCGTAAATCAGCACTTATAAATTGCAATTAACAATTTGGTGACTGCGGAGATCGAACCCGGGTTACTCACATTCTGTTATATTTACACCGAACGTTAACCATTTGAGCTACCATAGCTCTTAAAATTAAAAACCACCATTTTGTTAACTGATATTTAGATAAAAAGTTTTTTGCTGCTGTCTGTTTTAAAAAGTTGAGTTTTGTTGTCGCTGCTACACTGTTATGGTATTATTAGTTTCTATTCTATACTTTTGTTTTTTTTTGCAGTTCAAGAAGACATTCCAAAACAGAGGATACTAGTTTCAGTGTTAAGAAATGTTTAGCATGGTTTAAGGAATACACAACAGTGTCAGAACCAGATGTATTAGGTTTGTATAATAATACGTAATTTATAATTTTAATCCATATTGCTTAATATTTTTTATTACACCGGGTCTATGCTAGAGGAGCCGAGCATGAGCTGAGCACAAATTCATATAGTGTGGACCGGCTTACAAGCCTTAAACGAGCACGCTTTGAGCATTTAATTCGTGCTCATTTGTGCTCCTCCTATTGTAAATTTTTTGATAAATATAGTGATTTGCATCATGCTTGCAGTGTGATTGCTTTAGGCTCATTGTACGTCTGCCCTTGACACCACAAGTAGAGAGGCTCAACTCATGCTCAACTCCTCTAGCATAGAGCCACCTTTACTTTTACTGCCTTATTAGTCTAGTGTCATTTTCGGTCCAAGGCCATAAATCAATTGTAGGGTTTTTCTGTCAAGAAATTCTCAGTAGCAGCCTGGAGTCAAGAAATTGGCGTTGTTTGACAGCCATGCCACAGAAAGTATGTAATACCATCCTGTCAGACTATGAGAGTGAGAGAATAGAGTGAACCAGTGCTTGTGCATACACTAGCCACTAGCACAGGACAAGATAATAGTGCCCATCTCCATTGAGAATGGCCAATGTGACTGAAATTACATGTGACGTTGTGTCATTGCTTATGTTATTGTTGTTTGCCATATTTGCCATGCTGGGGTGACAGGTTGACAATTGCAGTTCTTTATTACTATTTTATAATTAGAAGGATGCTAATTCTTTTCCGCTCATCCCTCTAGAATAGAAATAAAATATGCAGGAACTCGTTGGATACAGGTAGCTCAGAATCATGTCTTGTGGCATTCCTTGGAGTAAGCCTGTATTCAGCATTAGACTTGTGAGGGGTTGTAATGATGATAATGAACAAGTTTAGCAAATTTTTAAACTTGAGAATTTAAGTATGTTGCAGTACAATAGGATTGAAGTATTTCAAATTATTGTAGTCATTATAGAAATATTTTTATCTCATATGGGTTGCAATAGCATTACAATGATGATGTTTAATGGTTCTTTTTTTTATAGTATAGGGTGACAAACGAGCACGCAGTCCTGATGGTAAGTGGTTGCTGTGGCCCGTAGACATCTACATTGATCCTCGATTACAAATCAAAATGCAGATGCGTTGTCACCCGTGAGGACTAAGATAGAATGCCTCGTTTCCAGTAAAAAGGGTCTCCGGTTCTCTACACTCACCATATGCAACACAGCAGTTAAGATCTTTGAATAACGTATAAAACATAACGAAGGAGATTTTTTTTTTACATTAACACCTTTAGAGAAGGTCTAATCAAGTAGAGTTTTATGCGTATTCTCAGAGAGGACGGTAGTTTGGCACAGTTAATTGGAAACAAATTTCACTGTAAAACTATGGAAGGCCAGTGTTGACTCATAAACTCGTAATATCCAAACTTCAATAGCCAAACGTATATTTAATTCACACATTCTACTCACCAAATAAAATATAATAGTCTTTCAAATAAAATATTCGTAGAGCAATTTGAAATACTTCGTAATGGTTTTCATGTTTAAATCTAGATAAAACCTACCTACCTAGATAGTAATGTCCTGCAGCATGCTACTATTTGACGCTGGTATTCTGTGAGAACGTGGTCCTTCTCACCCATTCGTCGCCGACCCATTCGTGCTACAACTATACTACTAATATAACTGCAGCATGGCTCTACCATGTACATGTAATATTTACTGTCACCCAGGTCCAGAAGGCATGGAAAAGTTCTGTGCGGATATAGGAGTTGACCCCGAAAATGTTGTAATGCTGGTCATTGCTTACAAAATGGGTGCCAAACAAATGGGTTACTTTACACAAGAGGAATGGTTAAAAGGTAATTAATTTGACGATAATTATCACCAAAGCTTAGTTGCTCTCTCTTTAAATACTTTTAGTATTATTACATATTTATTAAACACCGAAGAATTTTCTATTTATCAGGTATAAATTTTTTAGGTTTAACAGAACTCCAATGTGACAGTGTACAAAAGTTACAAAACAAATTAGAATACCTACGCAGTCTTCTGAATGACCCCTGTATATTTAAGGCTATTTATAGATATTCATATGATTTTGCAAGGGTAAGTATTTATAAGGTATTTATATGATTAAATATTTCTGCTTCTTTCCACATGTGTTCCAATTCTAAAAAACTTCTCACAAGTGTTTGTAAAATTGGGTTATTGATTTAATTACTTATTGTGATTCATTTCTAAAATTAAATTGTTTTGCTAAAAAGATCTTTGAATGAAACTAAATATCCAAAGGTGTTGATTCATTTGTTTTTTTTTTGTGTTAATCATAACCCAATTTTACCTTATTTTAAAATTAATGATAGTTGTATCTGCAATGTAAGAATATCCGCTACCCCATATCATCCTTTGAGTGTCGTAAAAGGCGACAGAGGAAAACTGCGGTTGCCAACACACTTGCCAAGTGTGGCAACTATAGCAAATATTCATCCTATTTATATTAGCAATACTCCCCTATATATTGCATCTATGGGGAAGGCCTGTGTTGTAGATGAGATTGTTGATGTTGGTTGGGGATGCCACATATTCAGCTGAGGATGTTGATGCGAGGGTGATAGGACAAGCGCAGGTACGGGTGGTGATGTTTGTGCTGCTGCCGTGCTGTATGTAGTTGTGGGTGCTGGTGCTGAGTGGGAGATGGTGCGTGTGGTGCGCAGGACAGCGGGAAGCGGTCGCTGGACACGGCGGCGGTGCGCGCGCTGCTGGGCGTGCTGCTGCCGTGCTGTATGTAGTTGTGTATTTGTGGGTGCTGGTGCTGAGTGTGAGACGGTGCGTGTGGTGCACAGGACAGCGGGCAGCGGTCGCTGGACGCGGCGGTGACGCGCGCGCTGCTGGGCGTGCTGCTGCCGTGCTGTATGTAGTTGTGTATTTGTGGGTGCTGGTGCTGAGTGTGACGGTGCGTGTGGTGCACAGGACAGCGGGCAGCGGTCGCTGGACGCGGCGGCGGCGCGCGCGCTGCTGGGCGTACTGCTGCCGTGCTGTATGTAGTTGTGTATTTGTGGGTGCTGGTGCTGAGTGTGAGACCGTGCGTGTGGTGCACAGGACAGCGGGCAGCGGTCGCTGGACGCGGCGGCGGCGCGCGCGCTGCTGGGCGTGCTGCTGCCGTGCTGTATGTAGTTGTGTATTTGTGGGTGCTGGTGCTGAGTGTGAGACGGTGCGTGTGGTGCACAGGACAGCGGGCAGCGGTCGCTGGACGCGGCGGCGTCGCGCGCGCTGCTGGGCGTGCTGCTGCCGTGCTGTATGTAGTTGTGTATTTGTGGGTGCTGGTGCTGAGTGTGAGACGGTGCGTGTGGTGCACAGGACAGCGGGCAGCGGTCGCTGGACGCGGCGGTGGCGCGCGCGCTGCTGGGCGTGCTGCTGCCGTGCTGTATGTAGTTGTGTATTTGTGGGTGCTGGTGCTGAGTGTGAGACGGTGCGTGTGGTGCACAGGACAGCGGGCAGCGGTCGCTGGACGCGGCAGCGTCTCGCGCGCTGCTGGGTGTGCTGCAACCGCGCTGTATGTAGTTGTGTAGTTGTGGGTGCTGATGCTGGTGCTGAATATAAGACGGTGCGTGTGGTGCGCAGGACAGCGGGCGCTGGACGCGACAGCGTCTCGCGCGCTGCTGGGTGTGCTGCAACCGCGCTGTATATAGTTGTGTAGTTGTGGGTGCTGATGCTGGTGCTGAGTGTAAGACGGTGCGTGTGGTGCGCAGGACAGCGGGCAGCGGTCGCTGGACGCGGCTGCGGCTCGCGCGCTACTAGGCGTACTGCTGCCACGCTGGCCGCTGCGTGTGCCGTTAGCCACGTTCCTGCAGCGCGAGCGGCGCTACCGAGTCGTCAACCGCGACCAGTGGTGCAACATCCTCGAGTTCAGCCGCACCGTCGACCACCACCTCGCCGCGTACGACGCGGACGGCGCATGTCAGTATACTACGTACTTCTTATCTACTACTTGATTTATTAACTTCCTTGTAAATGAGTCAAGTGGCTCAGGACCGCGCTTTGCTAGCATTGCTAGCATAATTATAGCATAGCTATAATTATGATGATGATAACGATTTACTAGCTCGGTCGCCAACTGTTCTGTTTTTTCTTTTCTTCCTCTAGGATTTTCTTCTGTATCGTGAGTACGTACATACATAAAATTCAAAAAGACAAACATCTAGACCCAGAATAATATTCCTAGGCCATACAAATACTTATTCCGTGCAGGATTCAAACCCGCGACCCATAGCACAGCAACTTCTTTTACCTTAATTTAAATCTGGTAGTACATTGGCCCCGCCAGGACCTATTTGTGTACTGGCACTATTTTTCTTGATCAAGTATTAATTTCCTTAATTTTAATAATTTACACTATAAAAATCAATTCTTTATAAAAATTAGAATTCACAGGATTCTTTAGGTATATTCCGTGACCAAAGTCTTCGATTGTGTTTACCATGAGCCATTAATCATAAAACTACAACAATGATGTGTAGTTAGTTAGTTAGTTAGTTTGCGACGGGCTGTTTTCCGCAACTCCACGTCTATGCGCGTATTTTGCGTGTGGGCAGGAATAATGTGATTATTCGAGCCATGAGATCTCCCCGAAGAAGCTCAACAGTCCCTTGATGTTGCATGCAACTTCGGGGAGTGATCCCGGCGTGCCGAGATGTTTAGCCCTGTACGTAGCGACCTCCGGACATTTCAGTAGCACGTGGGCCGCCGTTTCTTCCCCCCCCCATACATGCCCTGCACAGGGGACTATTTGTAACACCTATAGTAAATAAATGTTTGTTAAAGGTGCCATGTCCTGTGATAGCACTAGTTACTGTCCTGATCTGCGGCTTGTTCAGTCTCATTAGAACTTTGGTTAAGCGACTGTTTATTACAGGTAGGGCCTCCCTAGCTTGTCTACAGTCTATTAGATTTTTCCAAAGCTGAGCGTGTTGATTAGTGAAGTGTCTATGTACCATTGAACGAACGTTACCAAAGGGGATTGGTATGATTGGTTCCGGCCCTATAGTGGCCAGAGCCGATCCGCTTCTGGCGAGTTCGTCCGCTGCATCGTTGCCTCTGGATCCACTGTGTCCCTTTATCCATTGCAGAGTCACATTGTTGTTTTTACATACCTCATTTAATCGTTGATGGCATTCATATATTAGTCCCGAGTTCACCCCATTGCAACTCAGAGCTTGTAGTACCGCCCTACTGTCGGTCAGTATTCTGATGGGGAAGTCATTAACCTTCCTAGCATCTATTGCTATGGCTGCTTGAATGATACCCATACATTCTGCCTGAAAGACTGTGTTATAGGTACCCAACGGTGTGCATATGTGAATATTGAGGTCTTCGGAGAAAGCTCCAGAACCTACACCTTCATTTGTTTTAGAACCATCGGTGAAAATTCTAAGCTCTTTTGGGCTTAATCCTTCCCTCTGGCTGTTTTCATTTAATTGTATCTTATATTTCTTATCGAAAACAAATTGTTTAGGAATCCTATCGTATTTGGCTTGTAGGATAGGAATTTCTGAGTAAATTCTATCAATTATGCCTGTATGAGGGACACTATTCTTACTCCAAAGATTTAGGGTCTTGAGTCTGATGGCAGCTAAAGTTGCTTCTTGTTGTATATGTAGATGAAGCGGAGTTAGCTCCAGCATCGCTTCCAAGGCGGCTGTTGGCGTAGTTCTTATGCAGCCTGTGGCAGCCATACATGCCAGTCTCTGGTAGCGCTGAAGCTTCTTAATTGTGGTGGCTTCATTGGTCTTGGTCCACCATACCAGAGCGCCGTATGTGATCATGGGCCGGATTACAGTTTTGTAAAGCCACAGTATGATTTTTGGCGTCAGTCCCCATCTTTTGCCAATCATGTTTCTGCATTGCCAGAAAGTTATACTAGCTTTGTTGATTTTGTTTTCTATGTGTTTATTCCAGTTAAGTTTGCTGTCCAAGGTAAGACCTAAATATTTTACCTCAGAGGATAGCTGGAGTTTTGTGCTGAAAAGACTTGGAAGATGATAGTTATTCAGCATTCGTTTTTGTGTGAACATTACTAAAACCGTTTTATTTGGGTTGACGGTTAAGTCGTATTCCCTGCACCATCTCTCCACTATACGGAGAGCCGCTTGGGTCAGGTCGCACACTATGCTAGCTGTCTTTCCCGAGACCAGTATAGTCAGGTCATCAGCATAACCTACTGTATAAAAGTGATTAGTATTTAATTTGCTGATGAGTTCATTAATGACCATATTCCACAGGAGAGGTGAGAGGACCCCACCCTGCGGGCAACCTTTCTTAATTAGGATTGGTTGAGATTCACCAGCAATCTTTATTATTCGTGTACTGAGCATGCAAACTATCCAGTCGATCAGTGCCGATTCAACTTTATGTCTACTGAGTGCACCTTTTATGCTGGAGAAGTTTGTTCTGTCAAAAGCACCTTCTATATCTATGAAGGAACCTAGACATATTTCTTTGTTTTGGATGGCCCCTTCAATCTTAGTAATTACCTGATGAAGTGCCGATTCTGTTGATTTGCCTAGACTGTAGGCGTGTTGCTTGTCGTGTAGTGGTAAGTTCATTAGCGCCGACCCCCTTAATTCCCTTTCACACATCCTCTCCATCGTCTTTAGGAGAAAGGATGTGAGGCTAATGGGCCTGTAGGATTTAGGGTCAGTGTAATCGCTCTTACCTGGTTTGGGTATAAATGTGATTTTCACTTCCCTCCATCCCCTAGGAACATATTTTAGAGCCAGACAGGCTCTCATTATGGCAACAAGTCTGACTATTAGGGCTTTACCCCCCCACTGTAGAAGTGCCGGGAATATGCCGTCAGGTCCTGCCGCCTTATAGGGGAGGAAACTGTGAATGGCCCAATGGATTTTGTCCATCGTTACCACTCTCTGTGCTAAATTCCAGTCTTCTACTGTTGGTGTCAGTATGTCGTCATGCCGGTTTTCCTCCTGGGTTAAGCAGCAACCTGGGAAGTGCGTTTTAATTAGGATGCGTTGGGCTTCATCCGGCGATGTTGAGTAACTACCGTCGGGTTTCTTTAGAGACATGGATCCCGACGTGTTCTGTTTAGCTAGAATATTCCTTATCCTATTTGCTTGTTTGCAGGTTTCTATGTTGCCACAGAATTTACGCCACCCAGTCGAGCGTCGATACCTGATACATTTTTTGTATTCAGACTTAGCTTTCTTATATAGTAGCCAGTCTTCATCCATTGAGGTATTCATGGCCCTGTTTAGGGCTTTTCTTACCTTCTTGCGTTTCCTATCGAGTTCTACACCCCACCACTGTTGCTTTACCTCGGCATACCTTGGTGGAGTGATTTCTGGACATGATTCATGGTAGCTATCTATCATGGCCTTAGTAACAGCTGCTACCTGTTCTTCTAGGAGCGACTGATCTGCTATAGTATTTATCCCCTCAGAACCCGCGAGCGAAGACGTCAACTTATTTAGGTATTTTGTTTTATCCGTCTTGCGGGGATTTCTCCATGGTGGTGTAGAGGGGATATCGACCTGTAGTGCGAAGCAGATCCATCTATGGTCTGAGCATGAGGCCTCTTTCGACACATGCCATCCCGTAATTAGTTTGGCTGCTCCTTCTGTTGCAAGTGTGAGGTCGATTATAGTGCGACAGCGTTTGTTTATGAAAGTAGGTTCAGAACCTATGTTTAAAATGGTTAGGTTAGTACTAAATAAATATTCAACTAAAACCTTACCTCGTTCATTAGGTTTTTCCATTCCCCAAAGGGGATGATGTGCGTTGGAGTCCGTCCCGATCACAACCTCTAGTCCGGTCCTCTCGCGGAAGTTCACCAGCCTGCCGAGGTCATGAGGGGGAGGAGTGTCTTCCTCCGGCATGTAGACCGAGGCGACGACTAAACTTCTCTCCTGTGTGTATTGTATTGCCACGGCATACATGTCTCTAGAACAGAAATCTGTTAATGGTTGTGCACAGATATCTTTAGTAGTGTAGATACACGCTCTAGGCTTGTCGTGTTCAGAGCTGTAGAATAGCTTACCTTTTAGGTTGTTTAGGCCTTTAATTTTACCAGCCCCAACCCACGGCTCCTGGATTAAGGCTATGGCAGTCTTTTGAACCTCCAACCACTTGCGTAATTGAGCCGACGCAGTTTCGCTATGGTGGAGGTTAGCCTGCACTAGGCTAGTTTTGGACGAAGGGCACGCCATCATTGATCGCGTCCTCCCCGTCCCCGCCCAAAAATAGGCCTGCCAGAAGATCTCGGGTCTCTTCGTCAGCCACCGAGTCGGAAGTGGTCGGCAAAATGCAGTCCTCTTCGTCACTCAGTGAGCTGCCGCTGAGCCCGGTCTCCACTGGGGGCTTTGGCTCAGTTGTGCAGGCCGTTTCTTCACTGGACTTGGCCTCCAGTGATTCCGCTGTACCGGTAACCGTGGCTCCGGTATCCATAACTTCCGGGCTGTTTTCTACCTCTTTGCTCGGTGGAGTATCAAAAAATTAACTCCACGACCCTGGAATTTTACGTATACCGCCCCGCATACGCATGCGAGACGGCGTCCGGCCTTCATCAGGGTCGGGATGTGATCCTCCGGCACCGAAACAACGAGGAACCACCCGTCCGTCTGCTTGAGTTTTGCCTGCTGCCTTGAGTAACAGCCAGTCCCTGATGTTAACCCAGCGGTTCTGGTACGCCAGCACGCGACCAATGTCACGTGAGTCTTTCCAGGCTCCTTGGGCATCAGGGATTAGGATACCACATTTGACTCTTTGTGGTATCTCTGACTGTTTTTTTATAGTCAGCAAGGTGTTGGATTTAAGATCGAGGGTAGCAATATTCCCCTTCAACCAGTCCAGAGCCTTCTGATCGTCGCACCACAGTTTCAGGACACCCTCCGTATATACGGGTTTGCCCCTAAAAACTGGGCCCGACGCATCAGGGTCCTGGC